TTGGGAGTGTCCTTTGGGAGAGGTGTCCTCGGGAGATTTGGGATGGTCCTTCTCACACAGGAGTTTATCTAAATCCTTGGGTCCTTTTCTTTTCTTTTTCTTTTTAAAAAAATATATATTTTATTGACTTTTTACAGAGAGGAAGGGAGAGATACAGAGAGCCAGAAACATCGACCAGCCCCCTCCTGCACACCCCCCACTGGGGATGTGCTGGCAACCAACATGCCCTTGACTGGAATCGAACCCGGGACCTTTCAGTCCCCAGGCTGATGCTCTATCCACTGAGCCAAACTGGTTTTGGCCCTTGGGCCCTTTTCAACGTGAACTCCATCCAGACTACCGAGTGTTACGTGGTTCTTTGGGGACGAAGGAATGGGATCAGATAAAAAGAATGCCTCTCCCTGGCTATGTGACTTGTCGTTAGGCCCCTCCCCGCTCCATGCCTCAGTTTCCTCCTCTGTGAAACAGCCTGCTCCCCTCAGAGCACGTTATGGGGGTCAAATGGAACAATAGTGCTTCTATAAGTATTTACCGAACGAATGAAAAAACTATAGAACTCACGCGAGGGTATATTTTTGTACTGTATATCATACTTCTTTAATTTTCTATTTTATTGTGATAAAATATATATAACACGGGCTATGCCGTTTTAGCCATTTTAAGGGTACGATTCAGCTGCATAGATTGCATTTATAATGCTGTGAAAACATCAGCACTATTTTCTGTTTCTACCACCTACCATACTTTTTTTGTTTGTTTGTTTCATTGAAACAGCCTCTTCTTCACTTTAAACAAATTAACGAGCCTGCATTATTGTAGGCTTGGACTACATACATGTCTGTTCTATTCTTCAGAAGCCAGAGTCTTATTCCTCTTGTTCTGTCTGAGCATCTCCTCCCTCAGTACTGTGCTAGGTACTGGGAGGACAAAAAAAAAAAAAAAAAAAAAAAAAAGATGAACCCCAACTGGTTTGGCTCAGTGAATAGAGTGTCGGTCTGCGGACTCAAGGGTCAGTCCCAGGTTCGATTCCAGTCAGGGGAATGTACCTTGGTTGTGGGCACATCCCCAGTAGGGAGTGTGCAGGAGGCAGCTGATCAATGTTTCTCTCTCTCATCGATGTTTCTCTCTATCCTTCTCTCTTCCTCTCTGTAAAAAGTCAATAAAATATATTTTAAAAAGATGAAGGTTGAGAGTAGATGTTTCAAGAGACCAAAGAAGAAAGCCAACTGCATTGGGAAGGGAGGAAGTTCATCCTTTCCTTGAGTCAGTAATCAGGGTGCACCTGCCCCCCTGGCCCTGGGCTAGGCTCTGTGGGAAGCAGAGCCAAGTGAGCCTCAGTAGCTGGCCTGCCAACACTCTCCATGCTGGAGGGTTTCTGGGCCCCTGGAGGTTCCAAGAAGATGATGGTACTTGAGCTACATCTTGAAGGAACAGCCAGAATCCATTAAGCACTCAAGGGAGTGAGGGCATAATGGGCACACTGGCTCAGGGAAGAGCTCGTGCGAAGGCCTGGCTCCCTGTGCTCGGGGCAGCGAGAAGGACGGAGTCTGCAGGGCACAGGAGGGAGTCTGGATAGAGCACGAGGAGCTGGCAAGCATGGACAGTATGGGGACCCAGCACAAGGGTCAGAATCAAGCTGGGCCTCAGCCTCAGCCTCAGCTTGTGTGGGAGGTGGGCTCGGGCCTGGGCCAGGGCTCAGGCCCTGACAGTCTCTGTGGGAACAGTTCCGCAGGACAGCACTGCACCGCGCTTCCCTGGAGGGCCACATGGAGATCCTGGAGAAGCTGCTGGAAAGCGGGGCCACTGTGGACTTCCAGGATCGGGTGAGCTGAGGGCAGGTGCTGGCTGGGAGGCCGGAGGGGGCCTAGACTCCCCCGCTGTGTGCCACCCTGGGACACAGACAGGCTGCCTCGGGGCCCAGGCCCCACCTTTAGTGGGTGGTTGGCCTTGGGCAGCCCCATCTCCTCTGCAAATCTCTCTCAGACTAGATGGTCCCAAGGGTTCTTACATTTTGCTTGTCCCATTGCCCAGGCACTGGAGTGACCTCTCACTCCCCTGTGCCCTTCTCCTGGTACCTCCCTCCCTTCTGGCTGGGCCCTTTCCCCCAGGGCACTGTCTTCTTGGAAGCTCTGCCATTAGGCCCCGTCCTGCCCTTCTAGCTGGATTGCACAGCCATGCATTGGGCCTGCCGCGGGGGCCGCTTGGAGGTGGTGAAACTCCTGCAGAGCCGAGGAGCAGACACCAACATGAGAGATAAGGTGAGGCGATGGTGCTCACAGATATTGGGGTGGCTGTGGGAGGGGAGTGGGAGGCGAAAGACAGAAAAGCCAAGGAAGCTTTGAACAAGTCTGGTTTCCAGAGTGGCTGCAGAGCCCAGGGATGGATCGTGTCCATCAAATGCAGGCCCCTGGAAGCCATCCTCTGGGGACGGGAGCAGGAAGAGCAGAGAAGAGGGCTGGATAAGAGATTCGCTGTTTTGGGAACTTGGGGACCGCCCAAAAGATATAGGATTTGTTCATCCATGCAATCTTTCAGCATCCTTCTATCTATCCATCTCTCCATCTCTCCATCCATCCCTCCACCTTCTTAAAATTTATTCTTTGTATGAGACCTTGAGCGAGTGATAGCCTCTGAGCCTGTTGCTCATCTGTAAAATGTCTTGCAGAGTTCTTGTATAGATTAGGTGGGAAATGAATGTAAATTACTTGTTAAACTTAAGTCTAATGTTTGATAAGCTTTTGCCATGCCCATTACATAGTCATCCGTCCATAAGTGACATCTATTGTAATCACTAAAAGAAGGGCAGAGGAGTGCTGGTAGCTGGGCGGGTGGGGAATCATGGAAGGCTTCCCGGAGAAGACGGTACGTGATGCTTCCGAGCCAGACCACTGGGCAGGACGGGGAGAACTGGAGCACTCCCTGCCCCTGCAGGGCTCAGGCCCTGCTCAGAGGACTGGGGGAGGAACAGGCTGCAGTTAAGACCACCCCCTTCCCAGAGCCACACAGGCCAGGCCCCTTCCGCCAATAGTTCCCGCGGCCCCCTCCGCAGCTGCTGAGCACGCCCCTGCACGTGGCGGTTCGCACTGGGCACGTGGAGATTGTGGAGCACTTCCTGACCCTGGGCCAGGACATCAACGCCCAAGACAGAGTGAGTGTCTGGGCTCTCCCCTGCCCGGCCCCTCCACGGGGGGCAGGCAGCCTGGGGGCTCCCGATGCCCATGTGGGCGCTACTGAGTGTCACTCCGGCTCTAGGAAGGGGACAGTGCCCTGCATGACGCCGTGAGGCTCAACCGCTACAAGATCATCAAACTGCTGCTCCTGCACGGGGCCGACATGATGGCCAAGAACCTGGTAAGTTCATCCCTTTCCTGATTCAGCAGTCAGTGTGCACGGCCCCCCCAGGCCCCGACTGAGCTGTCAGATGGCACAGAATCAAGCATGAGTCAGCCGCCTGCCCTTGGAGCTCTTTCCTGGCCCAAATCCTGGAGGGTCAGAGCTGGACGAGCCTAAGCCCTCGGTTGGCATGCCCGTTCCTGGCACGCCATGCTGGTTCCTGGTGTCCTTGAGGGCTCTTAGCATCCCATGTCCCCCAGTCCAAGCTCTCCTTTGGGATTCAGAGCAATCACAGGATGGAGGAGAATGCTCTCCCTTCTCAATCCCAAATGGAGAACACTAAGGGGATATGGGAAAGCTAGGAAGGTAGGGGGAGGCATGAACGAGGACATCTCAACCTTGGCATTATTGGCATTCGACACTCGGCTGCCCTGGGCACCTTGGGATGTTGACGCAGCATCCCTGACCACTAGGCAAGATGCGAGTGGTACCCACTCCCCGCCTACCACCACCCCTACCCCCAGTTGTCATGAGCAAAAGGTCTCCAGGCACCACCAATGCTCCCTGTTGGGAGCCACTGGCATAGACGAGGGCACCTCCTGGTCCAGACTTCCGAACAGTGGCCTGATCTCCCCTTGCCCCCCGCCCACCCCCAGGCTGGAAAGACTCCCACGGACCTGGTGAAGCTGTGGCAAGCTGACACCCGGAACGCTCTGGAGCACCCTGAGCCAGCGTCCGAGCAGGACGGGCTGGAGGGGGCTGCTGAGAGTGGGCGGGAGACCCCCCAGCCTGTGCCAGCCCCATGACCGCCTCAACGGCCTCCAGACTCGAGCCACTGCTCTGCGGAGACACAGGAGCACCCACAAGCCACCTCAATAAAAATGCCATTTTGCTATGTGTGATGTTTGCTTCTCTCCGTGCCTGACATGTGTAGGAATGCAAGAGCTGGGGGCTGTCCGAACTCCCGCCTTTTCCCTTCCCTGGGCCCCTGAGCCAGCCTGGCTGCGTTTCCCCTTCTCCCCACGTCCCAGCGTGGAGCAGCTTCACCCCGCACTCGTCCCAGACCACCCCCCCTGTGACCGCTGGCCTGGGGCTGTGTGTGGCCAGCACAGGCCTGTCCCGTGGAGGGACAGCCGGGGGATTGTGGATCACCTGCCACGACTCCCACGGGGCTCAGCCAATCGGCTCCTCCGACCAAGGCGGAACTGCCAAGCAGAAGCTGGCGGGGCTCCTGGCTCTGAGCTGGAAATGGTGGGAGGAGGACTCAGGCCCCACTAGAAACACCCTTTGTCTCAGGATCCCAGGAACCAGGCCTCCATCTGGTTGTGGCATTCCTCCAGCTGCTTCCCAGGAAGAGGAGGAACCTCTCCCGTCCCTCCCACCCCCCACCGCCCCGGGCACCTATAGGCCTAGCCTTCGACCCTGGGGACACCCAGCCCAGCCTGCCCCAGGGCTGGCGAGTCAGGGGCAGCCAATTTTTAACTAACACATTGATCATTAACAGGGGCCAGAAGGGGTCCAAACGCAGGCTCCCTTAGGGCCAGAGACTCGCTGGGCCTGCCTCAGGCTTCTGTGGAGATGCTGGGCCCCCGGGTCTGGTCCTCTGTGAGGCAGGGGCTGAGCAGGGGCTTGTCTAGGAGTGTGGGGGGCCGGGCCCCCGGGGAGGGGAGGAAGGTGGACATCGCGGGCATCTATCCCCCTCTCTCCACCCCCTTCACCGCCACCTCGGAGGTGGACTATGGGAAACTGGAGGAGAACCTGCAGAAACTGGGCGCCTTCCCCTTCAAAGGTGAGTGGGCCTGTCCGCTGTGGAGCGGGGGGAGATGGGACAGGGAGCTCCCCGCCCCCCCCGGCCTGTCCAGCAGCTGGGGAGCAGTGCAGCGTGGGGCTCATGTCACTACAGGAGAGGGTCTGACAGGTGCACGGGTCTGCAGTCAGGTGGCAGCTTCCTGCTGGCCCAGACCCTGACCGAGTCTCTGCTGCCTCAGTCCTCATTGCTGGGAACCACTAAAGTGCCATCTGAGTGCTCAGCGTTATCACGAGGCTCCGACGAGGTGTTGGGTGTGAAAGTCCTTGTTCACTGGCACTCTGCAGGTGTGAGGGCAGCCAGGTGTCCCTGCAAAGCCCTGTTTGCGCTCTCTCTTCTGGGTAACGCCTCCTTCGGCCACATTGATTTCCGTTCTGGGTTCTCTGCCTCACTTCCCCTGTGCAGGCGGGTCTCCCCTCTCTGAGGCCGGGGACCAGGTTGTACGAGTGCCACTCGACATACAACACAGGCACAAGCACAATGGATGGTGACAGACGTGGCAAAGTCCCTCCATCCTGCCCTGCCAACCTCATCCCCAACTCCTGGCAGTTCCCTGAGGCAGTCCTCTCCGGAGCCCCATTTCACAGATGGGAAGATGAGGCTCAGAATGACAGGGCCACCTGCCTAAAGTCACCTACTAGTATGTGGCTGAGCTGGGATTTGAACCCAGACCCCACTGCACAGCCATGCTGAGCTGCACTCCACTGCATTGCACTGCTTGCTGAGTTGCTAGGCAGAGTCTGGTCAGCACCGGCTCGAAATGAAACGGAGTGGCTCCGACTGAGGCAGTGCGAGGAGCAATTAAGAACATGGACGCTAGTTTCCAATCACAGCTCGGCCTGATTTGAAACTTGAGAAGTTATTACACTGTTACCGACGTAGCTGTGAGCCAGTCTCTCTGAACCCCAGCCCCCCTGACACATGGGAGTAATAGTGGCCATCTCATGGGAGAAATCAGAGAGGATGCAAGTGAAAGCAGACTGCGGTGGCAGAGCGATACATTGGAAGGGATTGAGCCCAAGGATCATGATCATTAAGAGGACAGCACGGGGATGAGGGCAGAGCTGCTTTGGGACATGACTGCTGGCCCAAGACCCCATCCATGTCTCCATCTGAGGTGACTGATCCTTCTTCAGAGGACAATGAGTGCCCTGTGCATGCCCGCTTTGAGCTGTGACACGAACGCTAAGTGAATTTCTGCTGGGACGCAGGTCCTGGGGGCCTGGGGGCCTGGGCGGAGGCCTGGTTCTCTTGAAGCAGAGTGAGAAGCGCCTTACATCTCTCAGAGGAGAGAAGGCTCTGCTTCACCTCCCAGGTTCCAGGACGCCTTAGCACAGGAGGGTGGACTCTGCGTCTGGTGTCTGCCTGTCACCCAGAGAATCACAGAGACCCCCAGAGTCTTTGAACCCTCCCCTCCCCTCTCCCCCGACTCCTGCAGAGGGCAGGGCAGCGGCCAGGAGGACAGGCTGCCGGGGACTTGGCTGGCATTAGTCCATCTCCCCTGCAGCCCGCCCAGGAGCTGGATCCCACTTTCCCGCTCTCTGACCCCAACACAAGATGAGGGAGGGGCAGTGGGCTGGGGGAAAGAGCCCAGCACCTGGAGTTAGGAGACTGGGGAAGAATCCTGGTTCCACCAGTTAACAGCGACCGTGGGGATTTTTCTCAGTTTAGAATGGGAACTGAGCCACCGGGTTCAACGCGTTTCTCCCAAAGAGAAAGAGCTCAAAGAGCCCTGGCTGGTTTGGCTCAGTGAATAGGGCATCGGCCTGTGGACCGAAGGGTCCAGGGTTCGATTCCCATCAAGGGCACATGTCTGGGTTGCTGGCTTGATCCCCAATAGGGGGCTTGCAGGAGGCAGCTGATCAATGACTCTCTCATCATTGATGTTTCTATCTCTCCTTCTCCCTTCCTCTCTGAAACACATATATATTTAAATATATAAAGAGCTCAAATAGGAGGCCCTAGCACAAGGACCATAGAGCCACAGGGTCCTGTCACTGCTCCCAGGACACGGCCAGATGCCAGGAGGGGAGCAGTGGCCACTTTCGCTGTGAAATCGGTGTGTCTCTTGCCTGATCCTGGCCCCGCTTTGCAGCTCCACACTCAGGGGCAGAGGGGAGCACCATCACAGTTCTCATTGCCAGGCCCCCCTGCACCATGAAGAAGGCCCCCCAAAGTGGGAACCTGCCCTTGTTAAATCGGTGAACAGCTAGAGATTGTTCTGGAAGGCATGGCCCGACACCCTGTAGCTTTTTTAAAAATATTTTTTTATTTTTCTATTACAGTTGGCGTACAAATTATATTAGTTGCAGGTGTTCAACTAGTGATTAAGCACTCACATAACTTACGAAGTGATCATCCTAATAAATCTAATACCATACATAGTCATTATACTACTAGAGGCCCGGTGCATGAAATTCATGAATGGGGCGGGGGTGGGGTGAGGGGTGTCACCTCAGCCCAGCCTGCACCCTCTCCAATCTGGGATCCCTCTCACAATCCAGGACCAGTGTCTCCTAACTGCTAACCTGCCTGTCTGCCTGCCTGATTGCCCCTAACTGCCACCCTGCTGGCCTTGGTCACCCCCAATTGCCTCCCCCACTGGCCCTCAGCTGCCCCTGCTCCCCTGCCAGCCTTGGTTGCCCTACTTCCCCCCCTGCTGGCTTGGTCACCCACAACTGCCCCCCCCCCCGCCCCACCTGGTTTCCCTACGCAGCCTCTGTGGTTGTCCGGTTGTCCGTTCGGTTGCGATGGTCACTTGGGCTTTTATCATTATAGATGATGGACTAGTGTAGCTCTTTATTTTTATGTTTTCGTTGTTAATTTGTACTGCTTATTTGAATAAAGAGTATTCTTTTTAAATAAAAGTTATAACTAGAGACTGGAGGGTGGAGTTGTTGCTGAGAGGCCATTTGGTTCTGAACTCACTCTCACAAACAACCTCAGAGATGAACTTTGGATTGTTATTTCCAAACGAGGTCACTGGGCGACCACAGAGCTCCTCCAGCCAGACTGGGAGTTACTGTTCCCACAGACCCTCAAGCTCGTGTCGTCTTCCCTTAGGATGTGGACCAGCCGCGTTTTCTTGTGATGAGATAATTTTGGTTTATATGAAAGCCATTACTGCATTAAATAAAATGTTTTGTTTAAAACATCACAATTTTTACAATCCTATTTTAACATTTCTTCATTAAAAAATGTGTTAGCTGCCTCTTGGGGGGGGGGGGAAATAGAGCAGCCCAGACCCGTTTCCACCCGAAGCCCTGGATACAATTTGGGATTGTGGGCCAGGCTGTCAGCTGTCTGTACTTTTGGAGAGCCTGGCAGGCTGGCCGCCTGCTCACAGCCTGCACTGTGCCCTCTTACGGGGGTGGGATCGGGGGTGGGGATAGATTCTGGGTTTGCAGGTGCATCACTAAGGCCAGATGTGGCAGCCCCAACCTGGAATGGCCCTGGATTTGTGACCAGGTGACTTCTCTTGTCCTACCTGCTCTGCCTTCTCAGCCCTGCTGTCTTCCCTCCCCATTTGTGACCTCACGTTATTCTAGAATGAGCTCCTTGCTGGACCCTGCTCCATAACGGGCTGGGGGCTGCAAATGGGGATGGAATGCTCTGGCAGCAGATATGGGCTCTGGATGGAGAGAGATGCTGCCTCAGGTGGCCAGGAAGGGATGCCAGCCTAACCAAGGGTGTCCTTCAACCACAAACAGCTTGCTCTAGAAGCCTCTGCCTGCTGGGAACCCCTGGATGGCAAGGGGGAGAAACCAAAGGCTGGAAGATAAGAAGGACTGAGTCGCAGAATGGGTCGCAAGCAGAAGACAGAAGGGACTCCGAGTGGGGGAAGTTGCCCTTCCACTGACCTTGGGGATAGCCGCCAGGGTGGGAGACAGAGCCTGGGCCTCAGACAATGCCTGCGGGGGTAGACATGAGGGAGGCTGTGGCCCTTCCCCTCCCCGCCCCCGCCCTCACCAAAGGACCTCATAATGGGGTTCATTGCTGAGGCGGGAGGGGTATCCTAGGAAGGGGTGCAGCGGTGGGCCTGCCTGCCAGACACCCACAGGGAGCCCGCCCTTTCAAGCATGAAACATACCATCTGGGCTCCCCCACTCCCAGTGCACTCTTAGCTCTGCTGCCTGGCTAGGGTCCTGGAGAACCTCTTGGAGATCATCCAGCAGCCATCATGCAAGGTGGTGCTGGGGACCGTCCTCTTACTCGGAGGTGGGAGCCTCATGATGTGGCTTCGGAGGAGGAGGAGGAGGAGGAAGCTATCCGCGGTGCCTCCACCAGAGGAGCACGAGCCACAGGAACGCCCCAAAGAGCAGAATGAGAACTGGATCAAATCTCACTTTAGCCGCCTTTCCGAAGAGAAGCTGGCCCCGGGCAGCAGCGTCCCCGCCCCCCAGCCTGACACCGTCAACCGAGAGGCCAACCCCGCCTCCAGGGAGCCCTTCCCCAACAAGCAGAAGGCGCCTGGGTACTCAGGGGTCAGAGAGACCCACAAGGAGTCCTCCACAGACGAGGCCACGTGGGCCGCCGTGGCTGCCACCACCAAGGAGCTTGACAACAAGGGTCGCCAGCTGGCCAACTCCATGTTGCAGCGTGCCATGGTGTACCGGAACTCCGGCCACTTGGAGGCCAAGGACATCAACCAAGAGGATCTGAAGGCTCTCCAGGAGATGGAGATCAAGCTGAAGGGCAACTTCCTCACACAGCGGGAGACCACCGTCGCTGGTATGAACCACACACACACCTTCCATGGCCATGGTCACCACGGCCACCAGGATCATCCAAGCCACCCAAACCACCACCAGAGCCACAGCCTGCCCACCCGCAGCCACCAGACCTATCACCCCTTCGAAGCCACCTAATCACGGATGGAGACGCCCCTTCCCCCCAACAAGGCTGGCTTACAATCACAGGCCTGTTTTCTCTCCTGCCGGACAGCCTCTGTGGCCCAGAGTGAGATGCTGTCATCCCAACCCCTTCTTCTTCAGGCCCCTAGAGGGGTCCCGGACCCCTTCAACTTCAGGAGTGGAATCTGCCACCGAGGATGGCCCCTCATGGAGGAAGAGCTGGAGGGAGCAAAGCAGCTGAAACAGACTCAAACAGGTTCCTGCAGATCCACTGGGAGAAGACAGAAGAGGCAGACCCCAGGAGCAGCTGAGAGCCACACTGCTGCCACATGCCTGAGCCAATAAAGCCTTGAACCCCCTCACTCTGAGTCTGGGGGATCTGTGGCCAGCGCCAGGGCTGGGCAGGAATTGGTGGTGGGGGGGGGGTCCTTCTCCCACACCCCTTTTGGTGTGGGCTCTTTTGCTGAATTGATTTGGGACACCATCAGTGGCTTCCCAGGTCTCAGGCTCTGGGGACGGGATATCTCCAGGGGCTTCCCACCCACCAGCCTGCTGTTGTCAGGGAAAGAGGAAGCAGCCATTGGGGGGAAGGAGGTGAGCTAGACTTCCGGAAGAAGTAAGTAAGTGGGGTGGACTGTAGCCCCTGTCCTCTTGGGGCTATCCTCAGCCGGTCGATGGCCTCTCCATCATGTGGCATCCCTGCTGCAGCCCTCCTGCCCACCTGCTCCCTGGGCCCACAGGGATCCGTGTAGTGCCTGCCCCGACCTGCCAACACACCCTTAGGGCTACCGTGGTATATTCTCTCTCCTTGTTTATATTACCACTGGAGGCCTGGTGCACGAAATTCGTGCAGGAGGCGGGAGGGGGGTGGTTTCCCCTAAGCCCAGCCTGCACCCTCTCCAATCCGGGACCCCTCAGGGGATGTCCAACTGCCAGTTTAGATCCCTCTCTAGGGATCTAGGACCAGACCCAAACCCACAATCCAGGACCACTGTCTCCTAATTGCTCACCTGCTTGCCTGCCTGATTGCCTCTAACTGCCCCCTGCCCCTGCTGGCCTAGTCACCCCTAACTACCCCCCCACCCCCCGCCAGCCTGGTTGTCCCAAACTTCCCTCCCTGTCGGCCTGGTCACCCCATGCAGCCTGCTGTTCAGTCATTTGGTCATCCCTCACTAACCCCCCTGCCAGCCTGGTCGCCCCACTCAGCCTGTGTTAGTTCGTCCATCCGGTTGTTTCGGTCATAACAGCCCCTGGCTTTTTATATATTAGGATTGCCGGAACTGCTGCTGCTAGTACTGCTACTGCCAACAGCTCCCTCTTTTTGAGGATTTGTTTGTTTTTAGTGTGTGCCACAGTCTGTGTTGTTAATGGCACAGACCCATGAGGAAGATATTACATTCTCTCCATTTTGCAGTGAGCATCTGAGGCCCAGAGGTGACTGAGACTGTGATGTCACTGGGGTTAGAGCTCTGCTTCAGCCGATGCTGAAGCCCAGACCCAGACCCACTGCCCTGTTCCAAGGCCAGCCCCATGCCCACCGTCCCCAGATGAGTCCAGTGTTAGGCGTCTTTGAATATTTTTGACATTACTAATAAGTGACTATATATATTGATATATATACTGAGACACATCAGGCCTGAAATTGCACATCTAGCCAAGTGGGGCGGGGGGGGGGGGGGGGGCTCCTGGGGCAGCAGTTCACAGACTTCAAAGGGCTTTATTGTACATTTTCTTCTTTGGGCCTTAGGACAGCCCTGTACGGTTAGAAGTGAAATGATTTTATTGTCATCCATAGAAAGGAAATGGGACTCAGAGGCATGATGTGACTGGCTCGATAGCCAGAGGTGACTTGTGTCCAGGGCTTCCCTGACTCTACCACACTCCCTCTCCCCAGCCTGGCCTTTCCTCTGTCTTGGGAGTTAGGACTGGGACAGATGCTCCCTTAAATGACACAAGGGAGAGGCCACTAGGAGTCTTAAAAAATATCTATATAACTATATATCTATATCTATATCTATATCTATATCTATATCTATATCTATATCTATATCTAAAGCATAATATGCTAATTAAACCAGATAGCCGAATTACCTTCCAGATGACCTTCTGGGTGAAGCCGGGGCTGCGAGGGCCGGGACCCTTGCACAAATTTCTTGCATAGGGCCTCTAGTGTGTGTGTGTGTGTGTGTGTGTGTGTGTGTGTGTGTGTGTGTTTTAATTAATTTCAGAGACAAGGGGAAAGGGAAAGAGAGAAACTTCAGTGATGTCAGCTGCCTCCTACACACCCCTTACTGGAGATCGAGCCCACAATCCAGGTATGTGCCCTGACCAGGAATTGAACTGTGACCTCCTGGTTCATAGGTTGATGCTCAACCACTGAGCCATGCCAGCAGGCCACTAGGAGTCTTGAGCACAGGGTCCTCTTTTACCCTCAGAGTGGGTCTCTCTGACCACTGCTGTTGAGGCAGGTCCACCAGTGGGGCCCAGGGGCCTCTGGAATGCACCACCATAATGAAGGGAGTCTTGGGAATGAGTGGCTATGGCTGAAGAAGTAGCTGCAGAAAGACCCCACGTTGGCCCTCTTCAAGGAGGGGGGCAGGCACGGCTGGGGAGGGAGATATTCTTCCATTTGCGTAGAGGGAGTAGCAAAGACTTCATCGCTAAGTCTTTGATCTCTAAATCGGAGGGTGCTGGTCCAATCCTGACTGGACTGGAGCCTTCCTCCAGGGTTAGCAGCTCTACAAATGGGGATGGCCCCCTGGGAAAGCACGGCGCCTCATGTAGCAAGAGGCTCCTACCATCGGCTTCCAGCCTTCTGCGGAGGAATAGCTCCTGGGAGGCAATGCAACAGACGCCAAAAGGTATTTGCCTCAAGATGTTCCCTGTAACGTTAGCAAGGCAAAAACCTGAAGAGAAGGAAGCTGCTCAGTGTCCAGTGAGCCGGCCTGGCACCTGGCAGAGTGGGATCCTACGGTGTCATGAGGAGCATGGAAAGGTTTGTGGTGCAACTGCCTCCACATCACACTGTGTCCCTTGAAGGAGGGATGACTCACGGGAACACTCTCTCTTGGTCTCAGTGCCAGGAAACTCTGTGTTTCCCCAGGGCGGCCGCCTTGCTTTTATCTTGAGCTCCACATATCTGTCAGCTGACCGTGTTTCCCTTTTAGCTCTGACAGTCAGGAAGCTCCAAATCAAATTCATGACCCGTCGCTCACAAGCGTGTAGCAGGGGTTTGGAAATCAATATCGTTCCTGGCTTTATTTTCTTTCCTTTCCCCCCAGACACTTGCACTTATTAATAATCCTGTATTTTACGCTGTGCCTGTCAACTATTGAAGAAAAATATTTTTGGAATGGAATGGGGTGGAGAGGAAAAAGTATTTTTTTTTTTAAAGGGAAGACATGATTTTAGTAACATTCCTTTCAGATTTAGCTGAATAGCAGCAATTCTGCTGGTCTCTCATGGATATAAAAGGGTTGATACCTTTAGCTGGCCATGTTAGAAACCATATCAGTGATGGATAAATTAGGAAAATGAAAAAGAAAAGAATGAGATGTCACTTTTCCCCTAGAAAATTGGCAAAAATTCGTGCTGACAACCCTGTGTTGGCCTGGACGAGGCCTCGCAGACTCTCCTTTGAGCTTATGGGTGTGACCTGGATAACCAGAGAGCATGGCACATGCAGGTGTGCAATTTGTTAATTACACACCTAAGTAAACTGTAGGGAATTCCTTAGACATGGGCACAGAAGACTACAGAAAATGTTTGCTTTAGCTGTGCTAGCAAAAATAAGGAAACATTCTCAATGTCCAAAGGACCCTAGTCAGTTTGGCTCAGTGGATAGAGCATCTCTCTGTCTCTGCTCCACCCTTCACTCTCTCTGAAACATCAATGGAAAATACCCTCAGGTGAGGATTAACAAAATATTAAAATTAAATTTGAAAATGCCCTCAGAGGGAGAATGGGATGTAAATTGTGGGCCCTAGCCAGGTAGCTCAGCTGGTAGGTAGCTCAGTTGGTTAAAGCATCATCCTGATATGCCAAGCTTGTGGGCTCCATTCCTGATCACATTCAAGAATCAATCAATGCATGCATAAGTGAAACAACAAATCGACGTCTTTCTTTCTTTCTCTCTCTCAAAATAATAATAATTTAAAAAAGTAAATTGTGGCCTAAGCTCACAATAGAATATTATATGTCTAGAGGCCCGTTGCATGGGATTTGTGCAGTGGTGGAGGGCATGGCCTGCAGGACTGCTGTGGACCCGCCCTCTGAGTGGCTGCTCCTGCATTGAGTGTCTGCCCCCTGATGGTCAGTGCACATCATAATGACTGGTCAACCAGTTGTTCTGGTCGTTCTGCCATTCGGTTGCTGGGCTCTTATTCTATAGGATACTGAATATGACTGAATCATAGCTACATGTCCTGCTACGGACACATGTTGGGCAAAAAAATTGGCAAACTGCAGAAGATACAGATAAGTCTGACTTTATTCTATAAAGTTTAAAGTGTCAGAACTCATATTATATATTATTTATGGTTCCACATATATGTCTGGAGGGTATAAAGACATGAATGGGGACAATAACACCTGAGCCAGGACAGCAAGAGGAGGAAGAGGAAGGTGACCAGGGGAGGGTTGCCATGGGTACTGAATACACATATGTGAATTGTGTTATCATCTATTCTTTGGGGTATGGCTGAAACAGTTTATTAAAACAAAGAAAAACAGGGTGAACACTGTTATTGCAGCTGTTTAAGACATTCTGGCTGCATCCGAACAGAGGTGGGAAGGCAATGTGTGAGAAGCTATGGCTTCCGGGAGGCAGGAGCCTGGGCGAGCATAACAGCAATGTCCGTGCTGCTCCTAAGAGGATGGGAAGGTGTCTGCTGATGTGATGCCTGTTATGCCCAGATTTCAAGATCCCCAAGGACCACCAGGGAGCCGAGTCCGATGCAAAAAACAAAAGAGCCTTTATTCAAACTCGAGTCTGGTCTCCCTGCCTCTACAAAATGCAGAGAGCCCCGAACTCTGAAAGTGTGGTCTTTTTATAGAGTTTAGGGTTGGGTGGTGGGGTGATGCTCGGACCACTGAGTTGGCTGGTTTTGATTGGTGGGGTGAGGGCCAGGGTCCGGTTACACTGGGTAATTGATACATTTTGTACAAGATGGAAGACACTGTACAAAACCGAGTTAGTCCTGCTCTGCCCTTGAAAGAAGGCCTACATGCTGGGAAGGGGCCATGAGACCGTATCTCAAGGCCTGGCCCGGTGTCAGCACTGATAACTCTATCTGGGGCACAGTCTACAGCCTCTCTGGAAACATGCTCCAACATTCTCACTCTCTAACAATGCCATCTTCCC